ACGTAAACTCGTTATTGTAATTATAGTGTCCTGTATTTTGGTCTGCTGGAAGAAATTTCTTTTAAATATAAGTAGTAACATTTGGTCGTGTTTTCCGTTTTACTACATGTGGTTTATGTTTTCCTGTAAAATAAATGATTAAATAAGGTAATATAGTATTGACGAATTGTTTGATGATAAAAATATATTTACTTTACCATAACCAGAATCGCGACGAACAAGTCGTGCGCCTGGTGGTCACCATAACGCCAGTCGAGAGCAGTCACAGTGCCACTCAGAGCTTTAAATCTCAAAGATCGGGGTACTGTCACTCCCTCTCTCTCATCAGAGCGTTGTCCCGGTTGCGTCCTCAGCAGTGTTGCTGCGGAGCCCGGGGTCCGCTTTCCTACTTTTTCTCCTCCACTTTGCACGGTCTTCGGTATCCTTAGTGGTGAGACCATTGGCACGCATATCACCCTTGGCGACGTCAAGCCAGCACTTCTTGGGTCTGCCCCTTCTACCGGGGCCCGGCGGAGGTGGCATAGCCAGACATTTGTTTCCCATGTAGCATGCCGGTTTCCGTAAGATGTGGCCGTACCAACGTAGGCGGCTTTCTTGCAGTTTATCTGCAATGTCACGGACTTGAAGGCTGCCGCGGATGCGGGAGTTTCCGTGACACGGTCTTTCCGTGAAACTCCACACATCCAGCGCAGCATCTTCATTTCCGTGACAAATCTCAAAGATCGGGGCACTGTCACTCTGAGACATAAATTTAAAAGTCCCATGTGTCAGATTAAATAACAAAATAAAAATATATGTATAAAAGAAATAACAATAGACAAGTCATCAATAACCCAGATACCCAATCGATAGATCAATAATCGTCTTAAAAAATCACTTCCCTCTTATACAAACCACTTGAAATATAGGTACGGTACCTACCATTGTTAGCTTGTCAAAAGATCTCTATTAATATTTGTCGGATGCATAATTTTCATTTTATTATTGCATATTGAGGTGGAGATACAATGCATTGGTTTGAGTAAGTGTTTTAATAATGCATACCTAAGCCTTCTATTTACAATTCACTCAAAGATTAACACTGAAATTAATATGGAATGGATACTAGTTCTACAATTTCCTACGGGATTATTCTCATGTGGGGTAAAGCGGCAGACATTCAAACCATATTTGTATTGCAAACAGAGCTATTCGTTCTGTGTACCGTCTAGGCTCTCGGGTTTCTCTCAGAGAAAAGTTTAAGCAGACTGGTTTCATGACTGATGCATCACAGTACATTGACACAAATATTTTATATGCCCGTAAAATATACATAATTTCAATAAGAAAGAATATATCCTTAATATTAACCTTACAGCTAAGTCCAAACTAATGGTACCACGATTTCTTTTAACCAAGGTAAACGACTCTTATAGTGAACTGTATTTTTACAATAACATTCCGGAGCATATATATGTATTAAGATTGTCATTTTGTATAAAATATTATATAAAAGGCATTAAAAACATTCAATAATGTGCACTATTAAATCAAACTTTAAAAATAAAATTTACTTATAAATCGACCAGAACAACGCAAACAAATTTGTTTATACCTTTTTGTTTTAGACTTTTCGGATTTTTTTTCCGTTAGGTCCGAAAAGCTTATGGGGAAGATCTTGAGCTCTCCAGTTAGCTTTAGACCTATATTATACTCTCTTTTTTTTGTAGATGTTTGTTTTGATAAATAAGTGGAGTTTAGTGCATGGACACAGAAAATTGCAGCTTTGGAGAAATGCCCATAAACATGTATTGAAAGACGACATGGCTCGAGATTTCACACAAATTTGTTTCAAAGTGTATTCCATAACACTTAAGTTTATTTGAAAAGAGCAATCCCAGTTTAACAGTATAGTTTCGTGCTCGTTCTTCTCAGGGAAGTCAGCGTCAGTAGTAGCTTAAATGTGACTGACGTGTTCAAGTGTAAATTTATTTTACTTATGAAATAAATGATTCTTTGACTTTGACTTTGATATTTATTGATTTATTACGTGTCATATTGCACATTTGTAACGGTATGTATATTTGTACATCCTATAAGACCATAGTAATGTCAACGGAGAGGGTCTCACGCTATTATAAATTAAGGGTGCTGGGGAAATTACAGGCACATGGAATTTGTCATAAGTTGACAAAAGCATTAAGGAGAACTTAACTTGTCGCTAAAATAGATTTTATAAGCTCGTCACATTCAAAGCAAAGCAAATCCATTACAAAGCAGTTTGCTTTGCCATATAAATAAGTTGAGCGGCGATACTGGTGGAATACAGAGAAACCTACTAGTAAGATGTTAATTACCACGTCATCACAAAGTTTCGCCTACCAACTAACGAGAGCTAACCACCCACATCAAGTTGTAACACGTATCTCGTTACACATATACATTTACGCTGTCAAGCTATTTATCCACCTAATGCCATAGTTAATTAGGACGTTAAGATATACAAGGTAAAATTTTATAGTGAGGTGTTTGAAAATTTAAAAAAATATATATTTTGCTGTTTTTTCTTTAAATCGTGTGTTATGATTAAGTTTTGTTGAATGTCAGGATGTTTGGTTGTTTCTCCACCACGATATTCAATTATTTATGGAATTACTCCACTAAATTGTTATAATAACATTTCGAAAAAATCCACTTCGATCTGGTTGTATTCGAACCAACGTCTCCCAGCAAACCGTGGCAAGTACTATGCCAAGTAAGACACGGACCGAACCAACGGACCTCATGAATTTTTCCATGTGTTTATTGCAGGTCTTTATTTTTTGGTTTTTAACCTCTTTTTTTGTCGTAGCGCTATCTGTCAGAAATATAGTTCGCCTGGTGGTAAGCGACACGCTTGTTCATAGCAGTTCCAGTGCCACTCAGAGCTTTAAATCGCAAAGATCTGAAGAGCACTCATCACCTTGAGATATAAATTGACAAGTTCCATGTGCCTATACATCACCAGCACCTTTACCTTCCAAAACCAGAACGCAGTAATGCTCACATTACTGCTTGGCGGCAGAATTAGATAAGGTGGCAGTACTTTCCTGGACGAACTCTTTCACAAGAAGCTTTACTGCTACAAAAAAAAATTATATAACAAAAAGTTCTTTGAAGTGACAAACAGAACGCATTCGTAAAAGGTTAACGGGTGGCTAGGCAGTTACGCACGTGTAACGCTCGGATGTGACAGGTAAAAAAAACGCTGTATTGGAGTCCTTCTCCTCCTATGTCGGTCTCTGCTGAGAATAGTATTCGACTTTGTCCAACCTTCAATAGTGATTCGTATTTCGGATTTCAGACGTGTAGGGAGTGGCTTTTTTGAAGTGTTGATTTAAGTTACCCCGCTCCAGAAATTATTCCACTTGTTTGTTATAAATATTAACAATACAAAGATCGAAAGCAAAGAAAGAAGTTGCCCTGGATTGGCATTACAGACGCAGTTTCCAATCCTGTCAGATCGAAGAATTTTTTCTGAAGAATGAAATTATGTCGTTCGGAACTAAAACGCGTATTTTGTTCAAGCAAACCAACGTTTCGGCCCTTTACAAGTCCCCTGGTGCGGCCGACTGACAATGAGACATGTAAAGGGCCTGAAACATTGGTTAGTTTGAAAAATTTTGTGAACAAACATTTTGGAACTGTGCCGAAATAGGATAACGCCACACCATTTGAAATCAGTCGTACAGTTAATGAGTAAACAATAATAGAAGTATTCCTAAACCGATCCAGGTATCTATTCACGTCGTTGCACAGAAGTCACCAACAGTATCAATACTTTTTGAAACACCCTGTATAAATTCATCGCGAAGCTAAATTAAGGCTATTAATCAAGGTGGAAGCCAAATTTCATAAAGCGGTAATGGAATAGAGATGTATTGTTATCTCAACGTCTGTGACACGCGAGTAATAAAGCCCAGGAAATTGTGTTAAGACATTCACTTAGGAAAACCTTGTCGAGATGTGATGTGATTTTCTCTTACAACTTACTTATACGACTAGGATTATATAGTAAACGTATTTGCGCTTTAGGTGTTTTGGTGGAACCAGTATAGTGCTGTTCTGATAAAATGTTTTTAAGTTCCCAGGTTTTCGCTGTCGCTGTACATTGGTGGTGAAACCTTGTTTTTTTTTAACAAACCAACGTTTCGGGCTCTTTTCATGGTAATTAATAGGATAGAGGAGCATATGTTGCGGAAATCCATATTAATAAAAATGGAAACAAATTACATATTCGTCACACCAGAGACAAATGCCTTTTGCTACGGTCCTGGTATACAAAATCAAAATCTTTCGCCTTATCAACATGCATCAGTGCTTTCATATCGCTCGTAGGTTAAGGGTGCTCTTGACCTGGCCCGTCTTTAAAACGGCCTCAATTTGGTTATGGTTTGCCGTGATCGGCCGTTACCAACTTGCCCGCTCACACTCGGCTTATAAATATCTTCCGTCAATCTTCTTTCTTATATTATCTCCACATGTCCGGACCATCTTAAGCATTCCTTTCTCTATCTTTGTCATTACATTCTCTTTCACGCCGCAATGGTCTCTTATCACACGTTTTCTGTAATTTCATTTGTTTTTATAATACGTCAGTTGTTTGCAACGTACTTAATTTCTTTTATCGTCATTTCCTCATCTCAAAAGTGCTCAAGTTAGGCCCGTATTAATAAGTCCGTCTCAAGCGCAAAATCGATATTAAGATCTCACTTTAGTCGATCATCATTATTAATAAATATCACTTGAGTATACATCAACGATTACTCATTAATTACGTATCATTTGGGAATTGTTAAATTTTCCACTTAAAATCGTTAAGTGTCGTGGTCACTTGAGATGGTATCATCCACGATGTCGTTGATTAATGGAACAAAATCGAAGTGGCATCTAGACTATTACGTCCTTAATATTGAATATTAGTAATGTATATTATTATGGGGTTTAAAAATACGCTAATTAAACCTCTTTATCTTCCACAGACATAAAAGAAAAGTCACGAACCTGCTACCCTCGAAGTCGTCAGCACCAACGCAAAGCACCGGTTCCCAAAGACGGGCACCGCCACCAGCTCCTCTGTATGAGGATCTGCAGGATCTGCCCAGAAGACCTCCACTGCCACATAGACCTGACTTGGAACCTCAGCTGGAGGTGAGAATTTTTATTATACGAAATTTTATATTAGGTTTATGATAAATCAAGAAACGAGAGGCATTTATTTACTTTGACAGGAAAATTTTGATTCCCATCGGTAAATCACTTTATCGACCGATGTGTACATTGCAGGTACTTAAGGGTTAAAATTATTTTTGTGTTATTTCTTTACACTCTTTAAAAAAGTTTGTGATCACAGTGAAAACTGAAACTGCTTAATTACACTTTAATAGCCTATGACCGCATCTATGAAGTGCTTTCCAAACGCAGGTTTGCACAAACACTACCATCACAACCGTTTAGTAAGAAAAGATCAGTGTTAGATGATTTCAAATTCTTTTTTATATGTATACGTCTTAAATAAGTTTTTCTTATAATTGAAAAATTGCGTTAATCCAATATTTTACCTTTCACAGATGGTCGAAACTAAAAGGCCGGGCTACCCAGGAAGAGTATTCGTCTGTGGCTCTGGCACTTGGCGAGGAGGCAGCACCTGTGGCGGGGACACCTGTGGAGCTCCTCTTTATGAAGAGCTTCCCCATCGATCAGATGATTCCCTACACAGTGACGATCACTTTGCAGAAGATGAGCTCAGTCTTGTTGGAGAAGCAGCGCCGTGCAGAACATGTTCCAGGCCACCAGCTCCACAATCTCTACCACATCGTCCGAGACAGCAGCGTTTAGATCGACGGCCAAAATCTTTAGACAGAAGGCGGCAACAGCATCGAATGCCTCGTCATATACATCCCCCGGACCCTTCAGAATTCCATGAAGGAGTGTTACTTGATGCTTTATTGAGATTATATCCCCAAGTTGGGACAGTTGGAGCGAGACCACAGGGTCCTATTCCTGCTGGGGCAGGAGGAGCTTGGCCTGGAGGAGAATTGCCGGGAATCGGCTGCTGGAGAGGTCCAAGAGCGTCTCCCAAACCCCCTAGTGGTGACTCATCATTTGGATCAGATTCAGGATATAGCAACAATACATGTGGAACGTGTGGCACCAGGGCATCATCAAGACACAGGCTGTCGGCAGAAATCCCAATGTCATGAATGATGTGAAGTGTATGGATTTAAGTGTGAAAATGGTCACGTGCCATAATGTTTCTTTGAGTAAGAATGAACGTTTGCCGTGAAATAGAAATAGCATATTCAAATTCAATAGTTATCTTTCACATTCGGCCTAATGTGCTGATATTCAGCTATTGGCATCAACTTCATATGCCTAACAACATATGCCTTCTATAGAATTGTGTTAAAATTTAAAGGAAATTCGTAGGGACGTTCCTACAAACCATGTACAAAGTTTTAATAAGTAGCTCTGTCCCCTTCTAGTTTAGTCACGGTATTTTGAGAAATGGTTTCTAAATAGCTATAGCAACCGATATTGTACAAAACTCATGTGACCATATTTTTAAGTAGATTTAGTAATTTTTGTCCTAGCAAGTTATTTCGAACTAGTCCTAAAATTATCACAATTACGAAGTTATCAAATTTAAAAGTTATCACGATTAATTTCTATGTAAAAATAAGTATACATTGAAATGTTGTAAATCAATTCAGATTTTGTAGATATTGTACAAAAGTTTTTAGGTAAACGAATTACTTAAATTAGTAAGTTGAATTTTATAATCATATCACATTAAAATATTCTACATTAAAATTTAAATAACAAAAAGGTTACTTTCAAAATCCTTCCATTAATGAACTCGCATCATTTTAATTATTCTACTGGTGCTAATTTAACTTATGAAGCTCCAACAATTATAACTTTACTTGCCTGTATAACCCTTTCATGGGCAGTACTTAAATTACCTCACACAAAAATTTCAGAATTTTTCTTGCCGTAGTGCTCATATTGTTTCAATATAAAATATTCAATGTATGTAAATCGTTAAATTTGGTCAGTTCGTTGTTGATACTTCTCCATAGAGAAACTGTAGGCGGCAACTACTCAGAAAGTTATATACATTTTAAGTGTCCATACAACCTCAAATGGCTTTGGTTGATTACGCGTAACAGTGAAAGTGTTAAATGAAATACTTTGGAAAACTTTACATACGGAAAGAAATACAATACGGTGTGAAAAAAAAAATTTTTCGGTGGAAAAATAAACACAAACTTATCTCGAAATTTTACATAAAAACCGCTGTGTTCGTGTACTTTACATATACCAATGATTTATTTTATATCTACTGAACTAAATAGAATACCTATAGTATACGATAAACATTTTTCAAATCGGTTTAATTTTGTTTGTAACAACATAAATTTTGAAATAAAGTGTCCCTGCCGATTGAAAATGAACCGTATTAGTACGGAAAAATTTTAATTCAAGATGACGTAGTATGGGCTCTTAAGGGTTTCGTGGTTATTCACTAAATGATTATCACTAATTACAGGTTTCTTGCCACTTTCTGTTCCCCTGGTATTTCGGAACGATTACACGTCTCATTGTTACGGGTAGACTCAGTACATGACCATGGAGCGTAAAGAAATATCGGGAAAACAAAAGGAACTCATACCGTGGTAAGAAACCTGTAACTAGCGATAATCATTTACATAGAAAGCACTTGGATATCGCACTACAAAACCCGTAGTCCTATAATATCATATTTTAATATTTAATTTTTACTATAAACGATGTTATTGACCATGAAAGGAAATAATGGTGTCGATTCCGTGACTGCTTTTGTGACTTCAAATAACTTAACTTTGCTGAAAATTTTGTTATTTCTGTTGAATGAATGAAAAAATAACAATAGCAGGCTTTACGCAGATACTAACACGCGTGCGTGATACAGCAAACGTGCGCAATTGAGCGCGCGTGTAAAGATGTTGGAAGGAAAAGACCGCGTGATTGCACTCACCGGTAATTGCGCACTGTTGCGCATGCAGGCTTTCCCGTGCTCAATCCTGTACACTCCTGATCACGTGCGATAGAGTGACTGTGTAAAGGGGGCTAATAAGTATTTTGAAATCTATCAGTCAAGTATTGGGTAATCACAAAGTCGGAACCATTGTGTTTTCTTTGCTTGAATGTAGTACGGCTTCTGATTTCTTCTTAATGTCTTGCTTAATAGATTACAAACTATATCCATGAACATAAGACACTATTCAACAAAACAATAGCAAGAAAACTGTATAAAAACAATTGTTATACGACGACAATCACATGTAAAGCCTGAGAGTGCACTTATCTACTCTAATGTCTCATGCCATTGCCCTAATTAAGGTTATTTATTTGTCATTCTGAGTTAATATAAAAATTGAAAATCGTTACCCTCCTTCTGAGGCAGTCGGTTAATAAAATTAAAGGTACACTGCGTATGCAACGCTATACGTACTTAAGTACTAGGTTACAGTTCTTTCAAACATAGTAATTATAACGGTAACATTTATGTCTTTTTGTAATATACTCACGGGTATTAAATTTAGGTCATCTTAAATTTTCTTTATAATCAATCAGTAAAAAAAAACCGACCTCAAAAGTCGTTCATGCTCTAGTTTGCCACTCTTAGAGGTGGAATATTTTCTATAAATTAAAATGTGACTACTCCTGAGGTACCCTTTTTCCAACAAAAAAAAGAATTCTCAAAATCGGTTCATAAATGACCGGATTTATCCAACAAACAAAAAAGAACGTACGGTCGAATTGAGAACCTCCTCCTGTTTTTGAAGTCGGTTTAAAAATCAAAGAGTGAACGTAGTAGCCTCATGGTTTGTCAAAACCGCGGCGGTAGGTCACTACCGCCACTCAAGCAGGGGTTATGGATTCGAATCCGAACTCACCTCTTGAGTTTTTCGTAATTTATATAAGAAAGTTCACAACCATCGGAAAACGTCTGAAGTCTCCAACCCGCATTGGACTAGTGTGGCCGACTAAGACCTCTAACCCCCTCAGACTCAGGTCTCAAAGTAGACTCATGCCCAGCGAGTGGGACGTATAAATGGGGTGATGATGAAAGATAGACCGTTTTGGAACATTTTAAAAATTTCACTTTTTCGAATATGGCTACGTGCGTATTGGTGAAAATTTAGAACATATATTTATTTCCAACTGTTGCGGTTTATTTGGTGCATTAATAAATTTCTCACAACATTTATCAATTTCAAAAATCCTTTGTAATTTACTCGAGTTATTTCACTTGTAAGCGACCCAAATTCATTGCCCGTGAATGTATTCTAAAAAAATTGGATACAAGTTGTAAATTATGATATTTTTGCAAAAATCGTTGTTTTGTTTTCTGTTTTTATTTTTGTAAATTATTTTTACGCGATATTTATTTTTTGTTCCATTTTGTATGATATATATCGATTGCATCACTATTGTAATTAAACTTTGGGCAAGCGTCCAATTTATAAATATGAGAAGCACAATAAAATGAAAAATAAATACATTTTTAAGAAAAAACTTGTTTTTTTTTTATTTTACCAAAATCCTGTAATACTTTATAGCTACGGCATATAACAGCTAGTTGTTGCCTTATTTAACGTGAAATCTTATACTGAATCTTAATTATCGAACACATAGTCATAATCATCTGAATCGAAATAATCATTCTCATCACTATACAAGTCCAATTTGAGAAAAAAGTTGAGATAATAAATAATATCAATCAATCCGGAAAAATAGTTTCATTTCCTATAATCAATATTTGTTGAATATCTATATATTTTTTTGTGGAAATACTTCACTAGATTGTTATTATTATTGACTCAAAGATCAAACACCAAAAAGAACAATCCCTTCGATCTGACATGTAAGAATCTGTTTAAGCCCAATGCAAAGGTCAGGGATTTATTTCCTGCTCCATCCGACATCCTTCCGAAACAATCCGTCAAATAAGTCAATCCGTAAAATAACAATTTTATTTCAAACTTAGGTCAATACAAGTGTAAAAATAACATTAAAAATCTTAAAGAAATAAATGTAAAAACAATACAAAAATGGAAAAACAAAACAAAAAAAACATAATAAAATAAAAAACATATAACATTTTGTAAGAGTAGAGCTCCTTGTGAAAGAGTTCGTCCAGGGAAGTACTGCCACCTTACCTATTTCTGTCACCAAGCAGTAATGTTAGCATTACTGTATTCCGATAGGGTAAGGGTGCTGGTGAAATTATAGGCGCATGGGACTTGTCAACTTATGTCTCAGGGTGACGGGCGCAGTGGCAATGCCCCTCAGATCTTTGCGATTTAAAGTTCTGAGTGGCACTGCAACTGTTATGGACAGGCGTGTAGCTTACCATCAGGCGCACGACTTGTTCGTCCCGTCACTTGATATTATAAAAAAATAAATAAAAACAAAAAATTCATGCCGCATCATGAAATTTGTTAATGGATAACGCGAACGAAGCTATCTTAGCTTAGTTCAAGTAGCCGTTTCATCTATTCATACTTCGGTTCACACCGCGAACTAAGCAAACCGAGCTAACTAAAGTAACCCAACGATCTCGCTATGCTATGTAAAATATGTCGCCCTTCTGCCGCCCTTCTTCAGCCCCGCACGTATTCATAGTGTAACACGCCAAAACTTACTACGTATTGGAAATGAAACTATTTTTCCGGATTTAAATCGCGAATATTTGTTTTTTCAAAGAAACCAACGCTTCGGACCCTTTACAGGTCCCATAGTCACGGTTGACTGAGGTTGTACAGTCATCAACCAGTTATGTCTAATACTAATGCAAACTACCTTATTTTCTCACAATAGCTACAAAAATTATTAATTAAATACCTTAGTTTTAATTTTACAAAGAAACATTCCAATTTACGGTACATTTCGTTTTACAAATTATTTTATTGTAACAATATGAATTTTTATTAAGTTAAATTTATTATTAATTAAAGCGGTACGGATTAATACGTATTATTTTAGCATAGCTTTAGCGTGGCTTGCGCTTAACATTGGGTTGACCCTTGGTCCCAGCAAACATGCTCAATATGCGGTTCGGACTGGCGCGTAGGCGGGTCTCCAGGTGCACCTCTTCCTCATCACGGCCGTGAAATTGTCAATCCGCGCCTGCCCGATGCGCTGCACCATCGCGGCAGCCCCAACTGCACCCGGAACGCATTGTTATATTACTCGCGAAACGAATACTCGACCATATTAAAGGACTCGTGATGGAAATGAAGCTTCATACTTGATATTGTTTTTTGATTTGGTCGAGTATTCCTTATTTGATAATAATTGTTTCGGACGAAGAACACAAGTAGACCCCACGTAACAAACGCGTAGGGAAGCTCGTAAGATTTACTGACTCGGTCTCTGTCTCGGTAAAGAATATACATAGTACAGGGTATTCTCTTGAGGTCAAATTTGATATTCTTCGACTTCCTACCAAGATAGAAAATGTAATGAAAATCACAGAAATTTTCCATAAAAAATTATTTTCAACAGTCCCATTAAAATATAAGCCCTGATTATATATGCCCTGATTAGCAATTTCAAAAGCCCTATAATAAGGATTGTAGGTTTTAAGTATGTGAGTGAAGGAAGCAACAAAAGTGTCTTAAAAGCTCTCGGCTCTGCCTACCACAACGAGAGACAGATGTAACAATACATATGTATGTAATATATACATAAATTTTATTATTGTAATAGGAATACGTTTAGTGAAGTTTATGTGTTTGTATTATTCGAAAATTGGTTTTATTCGAATTTGCTTATGATTCGAGTTAGTAACGTATATGTATAGATATTAAGGGTGCTTTCAAATTAGACACCTGTAGAAGTGGCGCCACAATATTTAGAAGCGCAGTTGCAACGCCACTGTCATGTCACGCGCGTGCTAGTTTTCACTCACGATAAGGCGGATTACGTACCAGAGTCCGCTGGAATGCTGCAGCATTCGCCGCATGCCATCAGTCGCTCGGATTTGATACTGTTTCTGTAGCGACTACACAGTCGAAAAGTCCGCGGCGCACTCAGGCAGACTTCGACACACACCATAGGATCTAGCGCATATCGGTGGATTCCGGTGGATTCCGTCGCGATGTCCTCTAGCGTACTCCTTAATACCGCAGAGAAAAATGCACCGCCATGCTCCGAGGCCGG